GCTTACGAATTTCTATCTGATTAGACTGTTCAAACAGATGCTACTAGCTGTCATCCTCACACCCTAGATGGCTTGGCTTATGAAAAGCACGCAGGGACGAGGAATGTGCAGTGAACATGGCAACCTTATGACGGAGCCCTTTGCAACGAAAACTACGCTGTATAGTGAAGATGCATGAAGGGATGTGGTAACATGGATTGTAACGATGTTGTAAGATATCAAAATCATTTAAATATAACCTATTCAACCTCTGTACTTGGCGGAACATTACTACAATGTTGCAATATTGAAGCCAGGATAACAAAATCAGTATCATAATATGAACACATGGGGGTTAAAATTGGTTTATTACGTTTTGGTAGATCGGTTTCTGATATATCTACCATTTTAATTTTCTATAGATGGAAAAAGTTTATCTTTCCAGTTAGTTCTAGAACGCACATTTTCGTCGTGTTTGTTAAAAATTAAACCATCGATATTTAAAAATTAAAAAAAGTTTATTGTTCAAAATAGCACAAGACATATATGAATAACACTGAGTTATTTCTTCGTGTAAACATAATAGCATGACTCGATTCCTATAATCCCTTCAAACCGTTCTGGAATCTAGACTTTTTACAAACAAATTTTACTTCTATGTAGTTGTGACTGAACACATAAAGTTACTGATTTTTTGTTTCTTAGTGCAAGGCTACAAAATGGGCTATCTGCGCTATGCCGGCCGCAAGGAATGACCTCCAAATGTTGACGTTACAAGCCATGAAGCTTACCCCTGAGCCAGCGAGGAGGCAGTATAGAGTTTGTTTGTTTGTAATTAAGCACAAAGCTATACATTAGGCTATCTGTGCTCTGCCCACGACGGGTATCGAAACCCGGATTCTAGCGTTGTAAGTCCGCAGACATACCGCTGTGCCACTGGGGGGCACAGTATACAGAGAAGGTATACGAATCAACTAAATGGCTTAATCTCATTGCTGTGTAATTGACTTCGTAAATTAGGAATATATATCAAAACTAAAAATTATAAAGAACCTGGTATTGAAAACTAGCTTCACACATTTTATTTCACGAAGTTTAACCTCGTAAATTAGGTTTTGTTTTGTTTGGAATTAAACACAAAGCTACACAATGGGCTATTTGTGCTCTGCCCACGACGGGTATCGAAACCCGGATTCTAGCTTTGTAAGTCCGCAGACATACCGCTGGGCCACTGGGGGGGGGGAAATGTAAATTAGGAATACATCAATAGTAAAAAATATAAAGAACGTGGTATTGAAACCTAGCTTCACAAATTTTATTTCACGAAGTTTAACATTAGCATCAACAAGGCAAAAAAATATATTATTATGTTCTATGAAAAACCGTGTTCTGGCTAAAAACCTACTGATAACAACAACACGTTTCTGATCTTATTGGATGAAAATAGTACTTGTTTCTCATACTTTGTTCAGTAATGTTCACTTGATTTAGTATATGTCCGAATTAATGTTTTTTTTTAACGAACTAATACAGCTTATTCAATTTTCTGTCTCGGTAATATCAAATGGATAACAAAAAAATGTCATTCGTTTCACAAAAAGAGTAAAATATATTAAACAGTAACCATGGTTTTGTTTCCTTATGCTCGTCATACGGGTTTTGATTATAATGTTTTGTTAAATAATTCTTAAATGTTATATACATTTTTGGTATGGCCGGTGGTTACGCCCATCAAACAAGTTCGCCCTTTCAGCCGTGGGGGCGTTATAATGTGACGGTCAATTCCGCTATTTGTTAGTAAAATAGTAGCAAATAGTTGGCGGTCGGTGGTGATGACTAGCTGCCTTCCTTCTAGTCTTTCACAGCTAAATTAGGGACGGCTAGCACAGATAACACTTGTGTACTCTTACGCGAAATTCATAACAAACAAACATCTATATTATTTTAATGCTACTAAAGTATTTGTAACTTAATATCAACTGAAAAAGAAAAAAAAAACCTACCCATAGGTGGATGTTCGTGCTTTACGATGTCGTATTTTATGGCAATAAATTTGTTTATTTCTAAATTTTCGCGCAAAGCAAACCAAAGGGGTAGCGACTCATAGTCGTCCCTAATTTTGTAATGATAAACAAGGAGAAAGACAGCTAAGTCAACGGTTATAGCCAGTTATTGGTGGGATTTGACCATCATTCTTATAGCGCGCCCGCATCCCTAAAGTGCGGAACGCTTTTTTTTTTTTTACGAACAACGAGATGCCATCCGTCATTTCTCATATTCATAGTCGGAGCAGGCTACACCCACCCTATGTTCGTAAATACAGTGCCCTTCTTAAACTGTCGCAAACATTTCTGTTTTTTATTATTAGAGTTTTACTTGGATGAAAGTAATTTTTCAGTAACCTTTCAAAAACTTGGATGAGGATTTCTAGGCACGTGAGCTAACTTGGATGAGGATTTCTAGGCACGTGAGCTAACTTGGATGAGGATTTCTAGCCACGTGAACTAACTAACTCGGATGAGGATTTCTAGCCACGTGAACTAACTAACTTGGATTAGGAGTTCTAGCCACGTGAACTAACTAACTCGGATGAGGAGTTCTAGCCACGTGAACTAACTTGGATGAGGATTTCTAGGCACGTGAGCTAACTTGGATGAGGATTTCTAGTCACGTGATCTAACTTAGATGAGGATTTCTAGCCACGTGAACTAACTAACTCGGATGAGGAATTCTAGCCACGTGATCTAACTTGGATGAGGATTTTTAGGCACGTGAGCTAACTTGGATGAGGATTTCTAGTCACGTGATCTAACTCGGATGAGGATTTCTAGCCACGTGAACTAACTAACTCGGATGAGGAATTCTAGCCACGTGATCTAACTTGGATGAGGATTTCTAGGCACGTGAGCTAACTTGGATGAGGATTTCTAGTCACGTGATCTAACTTAGATGAGGATTTCTAGCCACGTGAACTAACTAACTCGGATGAGGAGTTTTAGCCACGTGAACTGAAATAGCTAATCGGATCAGAAAAAACTACTTCGTAATTTGCAAGTTAATAAACAATAAAATACACTACAAGATTGTTTTCGCACAATATTTTCAAATAGTACACTTCAATTTTATTGATATATTTTCTCCCGAGCCAATTAATTTACTAAGTATAAACTTTATAATATTTCTCTTACAAAATTAGACAAACAACATATGCAATATATCTCTTACACCAACTCAGGCTCATTTTTACTACCCTCTTCCCTTGGTGAATAAAGAGTTCATCAAGTTGTCCAGTGTGATTTCTTTTCTATATTCTCCTCCATTTAGTTCAATATAAACATAGAGTGCTACGATTTGGTATGACGAACACGTGCTTCAAGCAACTGGTTTTCGGTTCTAATCACTTGCTTCTGCAGGAGGTGTTATAAACTGTTGCGTTTTCTACTTTATTAATCAACAAATAACGTATAAACGTAGCGTCTCTATGGCTACGCTCTTGTCTACCGAAGGTCCTTACTGATGCGTTTGGCTGAAATTCATTTCCCTCTGCATTTGTCGGTTTTCTAATACAGTGTATTAAGCACTTCCTACGATCCTACAATAATATTAGTAACGAAAACCTTAGACACATTTCATAAAACCTTTTTTTTTTTTCGAAAATTTAACTAGCTTGAAAAAATAAACTACAACATCAGTGGAATTTAGTGATTTTTCTGATAAGGTTTTATAAGTGAAACTAATTAGATGATGTTAAAGGACATTTTTATAGTTTCGGATATTTTGTTGTACATACGAAGGCGAATCAAAATGCAAAAATAAATTTGTATCCAAAACAAAATATGAGAGACAAATTACTTTCTTCGGTATAAAAAGAAATGTTTTTTCATTACGGTTTTGAAAATTTCAGTTTGTGGCAAATTTAAATTATGTAGAAGTTAATTTTTTGAAAATACAAGAGGATACGCTTATCTTTGATTATCAATTAAAACTACATATTTATAGAACTTAAAATGGAGATTATGAAACTATTTTAACAGGTTTTGTAAGTTATTGATTTATGGTACCTGCAAGAGAAAGTATATTATTTGTAGACTATTAAATAAACAAGAGTTCTTGGAATTCCAGTTGAGCAGATGAAAGTTATCAACGTGTCTACTAGATCTTTCGAAACATGTATCCATGTCTTTTAAGGATTTTTGTACTTTACGAATAATAGTGTTATTCCAGAGAATGACAACCAATGAAAAACAGTGACATTTACAATCTTTTGTAGTTCATCTCAGGAATATACTATATATATATACATATATATATACGTACGTAACAAATATATATATATGTATTTAGATAAAGTGATTAAACGTTTGATAATTTCACGGATCGCATTTGTAAATGATTCAACCTTTAAAACAAAATATTGAACTTAATTCCTTAAGACCACTTTTCGTATTTCGTATTTACAAAATGGGGGGAAACATAAAATTAGATGGAATAAAGATGACAAGAAAAGATAATTATAATATATATATATAGCTATATAACCTAATTCATTGAAATGCAATATTCAAATGTAAGAAAGATAACTCGGTAACAATAGACAAAATGTTTCAAAAATATTAATCCGAATATGTAATAATCTTCTTGTATCAGATTGAAAAAAACAACAACAACAAGGTATTTATATGTGGCTATAGATAAACAGATTGAAAACAACAATAACAAGGTATTTATATGTGGCTATAGATAAACAAATTGAAAACAACAATAACAAGGTATTTATATGTGGCTATAGATAAACAGATTGAAAACAACAACAAGGTATTTATATGTGGCTATAGATAAACAGATTGAAAACAACAATAACAAGGTATTTATATGTGGCTATAGATAAACAGATTGAAAACAACAACAAGGTATTTATATGTGACTATAGATAAACAGTATGTAATTAATCTTGCTTATAGTTATATTAATCAAATGAGCATTATATAGAGTAGAAAAAAAGATGAAAATATTAAACAAACCTTATTAAAATCAGCCAACTCTGCTATCTCGTTCCATAAGCTTATCATAACTTGTTTTTTTTTCTCGTGGATTTCAGTATCATACGCTCCCTTCCCCTCTTGAATGGTGTATTTCTTGAAAATTCCAAGTATCATAAGAAAAGTGAAAACAAGACAAAACTTAATTCGTTTTAATACAGTTGTTTCTCTGTTACTCATTCCTCTTCTTACTAGCTTTAATTAAGGTGTAATTAGTTTCTAAGTAATGAACGACCAGTTAAAGAAGTTTGCGTGACTTAACTTTCATTCCATTCATGTCATCAAGCTACTTATAAACTAATCTTTTTCATGGCGAAGTGAAAAAGAACGATTTAAACAAAGATCACTCCAAATTCAATTGTCTTTGAAGACGAATGAGGTTTGTCGTAGTTCAAAAATTTAACAGCAATAGTAGGATGTGACAGAAGAAGAAATTTCTAGCAGACAGAAAACTTCGGGCTAATATTGCTTTAAAAAAAGTATTTCATTTAATGGATCGAAACGCTTCGGTTTTTAACTAAACACTATCAGGCCTAAAACCTTCAGTCTATTTGGTTTCGTCTCACTAGACACTTATAATCTATAATATTTTGAAAATTAACTCACGCTTATCACACTCCACTTCAGATTTGAAGAATATATTTTTATGACATGCTGATTTTTTTTTAAAATTAACTCACGCGGAATCATGCTTCATTTTAGATTTGCGATAGATACCAAAATAATTATACTTTTAGGACATTTTAAATTATTTTTTAATTAACTCGCGCGGACTCATGCTACCTTTTAGATTTGCGAAAACTATCAAAATAATTAAAATTTTACGACATGTATATTTTGTTTTAATTAACTCAAACGGAATAATGTTTCACTCCCGATATGCAGAACTAACTAAATGATCACATTTTTACGATATGATGAATTCTAAGTTTGTTATGCTGGAAAAGAGAACGTTACATGAAACATCATGAACTACATATACATTATAATATGTGCATCATAACATGAAATACTAATACACATCACAATATGTGCCTCATAACATGAAATACTAATACACATCCCAATATGTGCATCATAACATGAAATACTAATACACATCGCAATATGTGCATCATAACATGAAATACTAATACACATCGCAATATGTGCATCATAAAATGAAATACTAATACACATCACAATATGTGCCTCATAACATGAAATACTAATACACATCGCAATATGTGCCTCATAACATGAAATACTAATACACATCGCAATATGTGCATCATAACATGAAATACTAATACACATCGCAATATGTGCATCATAACATGAAATACTAATACACATCACAATATGTGCATCATAACATGAAATACTATTGGCCAGCTTTGGATAACAAAACTTGTATAATAATCAGGTGAGAACTACAATTTCTAATAAAATCAGCCAAGCTAGGTTGTAGAAAGACAATGGAATATTTTAGAGCATCAAGTATCGCAGTATCTTGCTAGAGAAATGATCCATCATGTGTATGTTAGCACCCATCACTGATTAACGTAATTTTTGAATGGTAACTTGAAAATGTCCGATGGTGTAATGGCCTATTTTGTTTTAGAATTTTTGATCGAGCAGGGAAAGGAGGGGGTTAACAAAAACCTGAAATAACGCACACTTTCTTTGTTTCTTTATAGATATTTTGCTTTGAACTTAAAGACGCAAATACTTAATCAATTAAAAGAGTAAATCATTAGTTTTGAAAACCATGGTATGCAATTAGCATCTGATGAGGTCATTAGGGGTTGAATAACAAAAGAAGGGGGAACATTATCTAACATTTCTTTACATAGTTTTTGCTACCATAACTTACTTGGTGAACGCACCTGTGGCAGCAATTACTGCTGTAAGTCTTTTTTTGGATAGGTCTCTACCAACTTTGCACAATGGGATGTTGTGATTTTTGCCCATTCTTCCTGGCAAAATTGCTCCAATTCTGAAAAGTTCGTTAGTGGACTGCAATCTTTAAGTCTCGTCATAAATTTTCTACTCGATTCAAGTCAGAACTTTGACTGGGCCACTCCAGAACATTCAATTCTTTCTTTTGAAATCACTCCATTGTGGCTTTGGCCTTGTGGTTCGGGTCATTGTCCTGCTGAAATGTGAATTTTCGACCCAGTTTTAGATTTTTTGCTGATTCAAGCAGGTTTTCCTCTAAGATTGGTCTGTACTTTGCACCATCCATCTTCCCCTCAATCCTGACAAGATTCCAAGTCCTTGCTGATGAGAAGCATCCCCATAACATGATGCTGCCACCACCATGCTTGTCAGTTGGGATGATGTTGACTGGACGATGTTCTGTGTTGGCTTTGTGCCAGACGTAACGCTCGGAACTTAGATGTAAATACTAAATTTTTGTCTCGTCTGAACACAAACCCTTCTGACACATATCTGCAGTATTATTTATTTGTAGAAAACTCCATACAAGAGTTAAGATTATTCTTTTTTAGTAATGGCTTATTTCTTGCCAATCGCCTATACAGACCAGCTTTGTGTAGGGACCGGGATATTGTCGATGTATGAACACTGACTCCTATCTCACACATGAAACTTTGCAAATCTTTCAAAATCACTGTTGACTTCACAGTGGCATCACTAACCAGTTTCCTGCTTGCCCGGCTGCTTAGTTTGGAAGGGCGGCCTGATCTGGGAAGTAAGTAGGTGGTATGAAGCACCTTCCACTTCTTAATGATGGACTTCACCATACTCAAAGCCATAATCAGCGACTTTGAAATTTTCTTGTAACCTTCTCCTGATC